AGTGCTGGTGGCCATGCCTGAAATGGTAGTAATGGATTTAGTATTTGGGGCAGGAGGTATGGGATTTGTCATGTTGGTTGAGTATTTTCCTGGCCGCCTTCCATGACTGTTCAGATATTTTTAGCATGAAGTACAAGCTATGTTGTCTCAGTTGACCTTGGAGCATGACATTTTAACACGGAATTGGTTTGACTTGCTAATCATTAAAATGATTTATTATTTTTTATTGCATGAGCAACTAGAATCCCAGTCATGTTTTGCAGATGAAAAGGGAAGCAAATTGAAACCTGTCTTCCCTTAACTTGAAGTCCTTCATGATACCCATGTTTCCTAAGCTGCTGTCTTTCTCTGTACACCATTAAAAGTAGATTATATCTAGGTTTGTTTTTTAATTTGTCTTTTAGTCATTTGACAAATATTATATCAGAGTTACTGAAACTAATCCCAAGGTTTCACAGTGCTCAATGAGAAGTGTAGAAGAAAAGGATTGTTTCTGTTGCAAACAATTTATGACCTTAATAGAAGTTTACAGCTGCCATCAGAAAGGCAAGATCTTGCTACCAGAATATTTATCCTGGTGATTGCTCTCTCTCTCTGCCTTCATTCCCAGACTCAATTTTAAAGATCAAGCCCCTAAATGCCAACTTCTGTTAAGGAATTAGCAGCAGTAGCGCTGCATCAGGATATCGTAGCAATATATTTTAAGGGGTAGTGTATAATGTAGGAAAAGAACTTTGGACCAGCCACATAGCCAAAAGTCCACAAAAGTTGAATTCAAATCTTGAAGTGTAGATCAATCTTTAGCCTGACTGGACTTTTTGACAAATTGTCAATTTTAGACAATTCGTGTTTATTGAGTTTTGCACCTCCTTAAGTTAACATGACCTGAGAGGAAATCACAATCATTTTTAAGATACATTTTACTGCCACAGTGGTGCAGAAAAGCTTTTGACTGAAAAGAGCATCAAGGACTTGTTGACTTTTTCAGTATACTAAATAAGCACCTGCTCAAGTACCTGATGTACATTTTAAAAATTTAAAATAATACAAAAAAAAAAAAAAAAAAAGTCGACCATCCTCCTGACTCAAAAGTAACTGCACAGTTAAAAGACTTACCCAGCAGAAGCTGAAACCAAGACATGAAAATAAACCTCTCTTTGACTACCTTGGCAACTGGGAAGACCACAACCTGCTCCTACAAATCACATGGCAGATCTCCCAAATAGGGCCAAAGAGGCTGTTTCCCTGAAATCTGTGTCACACTATAGTTCCTTTCATGCATAGGAAGTGAGTAAATCATTGAATAATGCAACATCCTTCCCCATCTGCAAGAACTGTGCCAAAGCCAAGCGTAAAGGTCTGGGTTAAAGCAAACTCAGTTACTTGGTAACCGAGTTGTGTTTCGGAGGGGTTAAAATTGGAGGGATTTTGGATTTGTGCTTTTCAGGGGTTAAAATTGCCAAGAAAAACTGAAAACTTGAGGAAGATCCCCAGGTGCCTGCATTAATACTCCCCAGTCCCTCTGATGTGAGCTGGCAGGTCCCATAAAGCCACTCAGCCTTGAACAGGGAAGGGAAGGAGGGAGAGAGCAAAAGCTCCAGCTGCGACTCCAGAGCCCCAGAAAGAGCCTCTAACCCAATTCCCTTAAAATGCACAAGCCTCACAAGCCACAGCATCTCTTTGCCGCCGTATTCACTGAGTTCGCAGGGCAAACAAAAGATCCATACCAAACATGCTTCCTTCCAGAGGGGGAAAGCTTTTCCTCATTTGCCCATAGATCCCCCCGCTTTTCTTTCAGTTCTATACACAGAGATATGTTATATGTACATATGTATATATACATTATTATTTCTGTTTTAACGGGAGGGGGGGG